TCTCTCTCTCTCTCTCCACGACTCCCTCTTAATTTTACTACTCAGTTTGGCCACATTTTGAAGACTCTGGGTACACCATCTGCAGTCGTTGCTTGTCCGCTGCCACACGTCGACGAGTCCGCCGCCCTCTGCCGCCCGTCGTCGATTGTCGTCCATTCCTCCGCTTGCTTTCACCCCCACTGTCGATTGCCGCTACCATCTCTCCGTCCACCGTCGATTGTTGCATCCACTTCTCCGCCCACAGTCCACCGTCGATCGTCGTCCAATCTACGATCCAGACGACACCTCAGCTAACGCATCTCCAATCCGGTCGAGCACGACGGTGGTCTTCACGGTGAGAGCAACCAAGACGTCGGCGCTTGGAGAATATGTTGATTTGAGACGGCTCGATCTCGTCACCGGCATGAGAGTCAACGACGCGGCGGCGGACGGGAGCGGCAACTGGAAGTTGAGCGATGGATACATTTTTTCAGATTTTGTTTGTTCAATTATGTGAATTGATAAGCAAGGACTTAATTTTGTAAATTTGATAACATTGAGGGGCTTAATTACAATTTTATTAGTTTTAATAAATTATAATTGAGTTTATGGGTGAATTTGTAATTAATCAAACTATGAAATAATGTTAGTATATCATTTAATATTTAATAATTTTATAGTTTTTATTGAAATAAATATAGATAAAGAATAAATAATAATAAAAAATAACAGTAGTTTTTATGTAGTCGACCGTTCGACTGTTTCGATTATCTAAATAACTAAAATTATATAAAAATTAATATTGTTAATATAGTTTTTTTTCGATTATTTGAATAAACATATGACATCATATTGAAATAATTGATATAAAAAATAATAATAATAATTGAACAAAAAGAATAAATTTTGTACTAAATTTTTGTTCGTCGGGATTCGTTCAATTTTGTGCAATCTGGTAGACATTTATGTGCAATTCGTATAACCATAACGTGCACTCGCAATATTTAAAAATTACAGATATAAAAATATTATGGATTTTCATAAAAAGATAAATAAATAAAAAAGGTATTTTTTTCATGTAGTTCGGTATATTTAGTTATTTTATTTATTTAAATAGAAAATTAAATCCGACTTTTAACCAACTAATATTATTCGATCGACTAGTATAAGTACTATAATTTTGGTAGGTACAGCGTGTTAGTTTATAAGGTGCAACACTATGTCTTATATAGTGCAATGTATTATTATATAAAGTGCAACGTATGGATACATGAAGCGCAATACCAAAGTTTTAATATGTTATAATTCTTGTGATTTTTATTTTTATTTTTTGATTTTTTTATGTGGAATGTGACCGATATTACAGTGTATGGAGATCCGTTTTATAGTTTTATATTGCATAATATTTTGTTGATAGCTGTTGACACGAATTAATTCGGAGTGCGATAATAAAGTGCAATGTGTTGTTTTATAATGTGCAACGTGATGTTTTATAACGTGCGACATTACGCTATATAAAGTGCAATAATTTACACCTTTTTATATACATTATGTGTATTCAAAAACTATTTTTAATATATAATTGTGGACTGCGATGATAAAGCGCAACGTGTTAGTTTATAAAGTGCAATTTTACTAACACAAAAGTGCAACCCGTCAGTCAATAATGTGCAATATGCTCAATAATATATTAATATTTTATCTTATTTGTATTTAATATTCTTTTTATTATTTTAGGATTTTTAAAAATATATAGAAATAGTATAATTTTATATACTTTTTGTAAATTACAAATTTGACACAAGTGTTAAACTGAAATGTAAATAAATTTATTAATTTACAATATTGGATTTATAATTTTTTGAAAACTACAAATTCAACCCATGAACTAAATTACAGTTTATTGAACTCTATGAAAATTGCAATCAAGCCCCAATATGATATCAAATTCACAAAAACAAC